CTAAACTTTAAGTGCGCATTTTTTACTTTTGTGTAAAACTTGGTGCAGGCCCTATTTAGTCTCTGGAGCTAGACTGCACTTTCTCTGCAAAGTCTGTATCTCTTATCTGTTATATTAAATCTGTTTTCATCTTCAACTGCAATCCTACTCTTGAATTCTTTCCTGGTAAGAATCTGGTAAGAGGACAGGGTAGGTTGAGGTCAGCTATTGGGTCTCCCAGACCCTCTCCTACAGCATCATGAGGACTCAAAAAATTGACCTCTCATGTGTCTTTTCTTTTTTCTCTTTTGGCCAGCTGGCCATTACAGGGAATTGAACCCTTGACCTTGGTATTACAAGGCCATGTTCTAACCAACTGAGCAAACTGGCCAGCCCACTATGCATCTTTTCTTAGGGAGCTACTGGAAGATGTGTGCCAGCAAAATGAGGTAGGAAAAAATAAACAGACTGAAGCTCCAGAAAACAAGGGATGTATCGTAGCAAAGTACTGAACAGAAGTCTCAAAATGACATCTATGCAGAAGGCCTAGAGAGCAATCATCCTGACTATAGTAGACTGGGGTTGTGGTTGATGTCTTTGGGAAAAAAGTATCAAAGAAAAAATATATAACTGATAGATTACTTGATATTTGAGTATTAAGAAAATGATATTGACAGATACTTTATAGATATTTCTGATGAATAAAAGTTGGACAGGTACATGGAAAACTAAGCAAATGAAAAATAAAGCAATTATTAACCCAAGGCAAACAAAGTAGTATATGAAAGAAACAAACATGATATACTACTTGGTTCTGCAGTGAACAATATTTAAATAATCATAATAAACACCGAGATCAATCATTCAGATCCCCATACCAGCCAGCTGCCAAAAAAAAGAAGTCATTATAATGTAAATACTCTCAACCAAAAATCATGGTATACTGGAAGGATAGAGGGAAGGAAAGTAAGGGATTAAAGTTAATAGGTAATGTCTAAGACTGATAATCTAGGAAGTAAAAATATAAGCATTTTGTTTAGGAATATGGAAGTATATAGAGAAGTGACTACCTTCATTCAGGGAGGGAGCCAGTTGTTTTCCCACACAAATTTCTAAATTTCATTTAATTAAAAAAACAGTGATGTACGTTGATAAAAAAAATTAATACGCAACTCTTAAATAAAAATTTAAAGTCAGAACTAGAAAAAATAAAAATTACAACAGAAAGACCGGGGGAAAAGACACAGATATGCAAGCTATTAAGTCCTACACTAAGACGGTACTGATGAATCCAGAATTTGACGGAGCTTCATGACTGTCGAAATGAAAAAAGAAACAAGATCATTTATATAGTTTTCCTCATCAAAGGAAGGTAAAACACAACAATTTCCCAGAATAAGCAGAACATCTCCATTCTTTGTTCTAAAATAAATTTCTCACATGGAGTTTGATCTGCTGTTATTACCATCCATAACCAGTACATACCCAAAACAACACCACTGACGCGGCATTTTCCAGGGTGCTCAGGCTCTGGTTCTGTAAGAATAAGATCTTCTACAGCTCCCTCCTGAACGGTGAGCAGTGGTGTATTCAGGATTTCTTTCTGTCAAAAGAGAATGCCAGTTGAAACACAGCAGTTAAACAAACACTACGATCCTTCCTGTTCTCATGCCCTATTTCTTACCTGCATGTTCTGTTTATAGAGTTTCCTATCAATTTGAGCTCTCAGACCCCATACAGCTGGTCCCTTACACCGGTTTAATACTTTGTAATGTACACCAGACAGGTCACAGATGCGTGAGCACAGGCCATCCAAGGCATCTACTTCCCTCATTAAATGCCCCTTTCCAATGCCACCAAAGGAAGGATTACAGGACATCTGACCTAAGAACAGACATAAACAAAATAAATATGAGCACCTTGCATATAGTGGGTGTTCAATAAGGTAATGCTTGTACAGGTGACTACAATAATATCCTTTTCTCCTATGATAAAAAATAGAAAACTTGGAACATACACTACAAAGAAAATCTTGAAGTCCCAATGGGATGCAAGAGTTGTCTAGGGCATCCTGGAAGACTAAACACTGCCTGAACTTGCTTTTGAATCTTTTTTATTTTTTTAGCTGCCTTTATGGTTATTTTTTCTTTCTTTTTTTAAAAAGATGACCGGTAAGGGGATCTTAACCCTTGACTTGGTGTTGT